TCTCGGAAGGAATCATTGAACCCAGCAATTCACCTTGGAGAGCACAGGTTGTTGTTGTTAAAGATCTGTTGAATAGACACAAGAAGCGGCTCTGCATAGACTACTCGCAGACCGTTAACCAGTATACCGAGCTTGACGCCTATCCTCTACCACGGATTGATGATATGATTAACAATCTTGCTAGCTACAAGTTTTTCTCAACTTTTAATCTTAAAAGTGCCTATCATCAAGTGCCAATAAAGGAAGCTGATCAGAAGTATACTGCCTTCGAAGCCAATGGAAGACTCGACCACTTCCGACGCGTGCCTTTTGGGGTTACAAATGGGGTAGCAGTTTTTCAAAGGGCAATGGATAAGTTTGTCGATGAGGAGGGACTCAAAGATACCTTTCCATATTTGGATAATATAACAGTAGCGGGGCGAGACCAAGAAGAGCATGATGAAAATGTCCAGACGTTTCACGAAGCTATCCGTCGAAGGAATCTTACCCTCAATGAAACGAAATCTGTTGAATCCAAGTCATCAATCAATTTACGTGGATATGGTATTGGACATGGTGTAATTACTCCCGATCCAGAAAGGCTACGCCCCCTCCAAGAGTTTCCACCACCAGAGAGTGCCCGAACCCTTCAGAGAGTAGTTGGTATGTTCGCCTATTATGCAAAATGGATACCCCATTTTTCTGACAAGATCAAACCTTTGATGAAGGCTGTAACATTCCCACTGGATTCGGACGCTCTAGCTGCATTCAATACTCTCAAGAAAGAATTTGGGAACGCAGCTCTTCAACACGTAGATGAGAGCCTTCCGTTTGTGGTCGAGTGCGATGCCTCGGAAGTGGCGCTCTCTGCTACGTTAAATCAGGCTGGCCGACCAGTTGCATTCATGACGAGGATGCTCCATGGCAGTGAATTACACTATCCTGCAGTAGAGAAGGAGGCAATGGCTATCGTAGAGGCGGTTCGCAAGTGGCAGCATTTTCTTGCTCGTCGTCATTTTACTCTGAAAACGGATCAACGTTCGTTAGCGTTCATGTTCGACAGCAGAAAAGGAACCAAGATAAAGAACAATAAGATCCAGGCTTGGCGACTCGAGCTTGGTTCCTTCAGCTATACAGTGGAATATCGGCCTGGAAAGGATAATGTTACTCCTGATTCATTCACACGCGCATTCTCTGCCTCGATATCATCAAACAACCTCGAAGAAATCCGTATTGGGTCGTGTCATCCCGGTGTAACTCGAATGTTACACTTCGTAAAGTCCAAGAACCTTCCATACTCCACTGAAGAAGTTAAGAAAGTGTGTTCAGCATGCCGAAGTTGCGCCGAATTGAAGCCTCAGTTTTATCGTCCGCAGCAACCCGGAAACCTCATCAAAGTCACACAGCTTATGGAGCGACTTAGTATCGACTTCAAGGGTCCACTACCTACTGCTACTCGTAATGCATATATACTCACTGTTGTGGATGAGTACTCCTGTTTCCCATTTGCATTTCCTTGTCCAAATATGCAATCCTCAACCGTCATCATGTGTCTGAATCAGTTATTCACTCTTTGTGGCATGCCAAACTATATTCACTCAGATCTTGGTATCTCTTTCCTTTCTCGGGAACTAAAGGACTATCTAACGAAACGAGGAATAGCAACGAGTAGAACTACGCCGTACCATCCAATTGGCAATGGTCAAGTTGAGCGATACAATGGTATCATCTGGAAGGCAGTTCGTCTTGCTCTAAGGTCAGCTAATCTACCAGATTCAAGATGGGAACTCGTACTCGCTGATGCACTTCACTCGCTTAGATCACTTCTCTGTACGTCAACTAATGCAACTCCACATGAAAGGTTTTTCAACTTTCATCGTCGTTCATCATATGGCGTGTCCCTGCCATCATGGATGCAACCTGATCCCGTATTGTTACGTCGACTTGTTCGAACGAGTAAGAACGATCCACTTGTGGATGAAGTGGAGTTAACGGATGTTAACCCAACCTACGCACGTGTACGTTACGCTGATGGGAGAGAATCGTCTGTTTCTCTACGTGATCTGGCTCCCTGCCCACCTTCTTCCATCCAGAATGGAACCCCCTTAGAACCTCAACCTTTGCAAGAACCGTTACCTGCATCTGATGGATTTCCTCCAGCGCAAAACTCTACGACCCCGCAAGTTCCTGAGATTCAGTCAAAAGCGGATAACGTTAAAAACGAGTTGTTAACAAAAGAAACTGGTCTAAGGCGTTCTACTCGAGTAAGCAAACCACTAGCTCGTTACGGTTGGTAAGGTTGTGAACTAGTAACTCTATGAATTGAAAAATATAAAATTTGAACCTTATTGTTAGTTATAGTACTTATATATGACAATTATTATTAATGTAAATTATTTGGAACTTTCTATTGTTTTAGAACTTTTAGGGAGGAAGAATGAGATAATAACGGTATTAGTTATATGAAGTAGCTGGCTATTATTTATGAGCCCGCAATAGTTATGATTATATAAGGCGGTGATTGACCACCATTTTGTTAGATTTGTACTTTAGAGTTTATACCAAGGTTTTAAGTTTAACAAGACGCTCTACGGAGCGTTAACTCGCTGGGGCTATACAAATACGCACATTACTGTACATGACCATGCACCAATACATAGCGGAAAAGTCGAAAACGAGCGCGAAAGGCTTAACACAGTACTAAAATGCGGTAAGCCCTACCCTACACTACAAGTAAAGTTATATTCAACCTCGCAGCACAGGCTGAGAGACCTGACTTGCAAGGTTGAGTTATATTTAGTACGCTGCAATCCTTCTTCAAGAACTGTCAGCCGCCAGTTGGTCCGTACGCTAGGCCTAGGATTAAACTGCGCTTTAAAACGTTCAAAATAAAATATTTTTGAGCTCAAAATACTATCAAAATGAAGACTGGAGAGAGACGAATCCACTGGTATACGGCCGAAAAAGAGAAAACCAATGATACCAAAGTTATCAAGGATAAAACGTACTGTATTTTTATAATTAGTTTAATTAATAATTTTGAGCGATTTATCAAGAACACAATTTCGCTTGATTTTCAAAGACAAAGGCCATAAATCCGCTAGAATACGGTTGTTTAGTAATACATTTGACATCCGTAATTAGTACAATTTCTAACGCTGAATGGAACGGTGGATATATGCATTATCAAAACACTAATGCATTACAAAACACTATGAAACGTACTGCGAGCTATTTGTCAACAATTACGTAAACAATACAATTTGACCAATTTCGCTTGATTTTCAAAGGCCATAAATCGCTAGAATACTGCTGTTTTGTAATACATTTGACATCCGTGAGTACAATTTCTTACGCTGAATCGAACGGTGGTATTTTTATCCTTATTGCGCCATTAGGCATTACAAATACAATCTTGAACGTTTGTAGCGCGAGTGATTTCTTAACAATAGTATACGTACTGCGAACGATTTATCAACAAATACAATGTCGCTTGATTTTCAAAGGCCATAAATCGCTAGAATACTGGTGTTTTGTAATACACTTGACATCCGTAAGTACAATTTCTTACGCTGAATCGAACGGTGTTGCTTCGGTTCTCTATAAAACTTTATAAACTTACTTGCGATTTGCGAAGGTTGCTGTTTCTATGCGAAATTCCTTGTAAAATTGTTCAATTTTCCCGAATTTTCCTCAAAATGCAAGGTTATTTATGGATAATTTGGGTAAAATTGGCAGAAGCCTTATGGATAATTGGGGGAAAAATTAGGCAACTCATTAATATTCTATTTTGTGGCTATCAACGACGATCGGAAATCTGACATCTGACATCCGACATCCACCACGCGTGCCGAAACCTATACTCGCCAGGGCACAGTGCCCCGGCGAGTAATAAAGCCTGATTTTATTTGCTTGACAATTATGGTTTCGACAATGGTTACAGTTTTGTTACACTACAAAATCTTTCAAAGCCTTTTATTGGGGGTAAGGTGAAGGTTTACCCCTCTACTCTAGTATATGACACTGTTTTAGAATCTGTTATAAATTCTAAATGATAGATGTAAATACCCTTAAAGAATAGTTTAACCATTAAGGGGGCAAGGACATACTGTAGATAGTACTACAAAGCCTAATGGCTTTAATTAATGTGTATAACATTTTGGAATTAGCCTATAGCCCTTGCCTTTCAATAGGTTAACCCATTTGTGAGTGGCAGCACTCTCCCCCTGACAAGTAAAATAGTCTGGCATTAGACAGATCGAAAATAATAAAGTAGGGCACATGAGCACACATTGCCACTTAATTAAAGGGTTTTAAACTGCACAAAACTACCCTAGTCAATGTCAGGCAAAGTCTGACAGAATAAGACTTTTTGGTAAAACTAAAATATCTCAACACGTATTGTAATAAATACGGATGAACTTTAAAATTCCTCTAAATGGTTCTTAATAGATGGCTGTTTCATACAATTAAATATTGGCTATTGTTCAAGTAAATTTAGAATAGAGTCACAGATACAGAGTACGGCAGAACTATAGTAAACGAAAAATATAGTACATGCTGCAAAAGCCTCGAGCAAAATTACGTTTACAAACAAGCAAAACTCATATATTTGATATCATATACCGCATGACATAATATATTTACCCTTGCCCATGAGAAAAAACAACAATAAAAGTAAAAAGTAAAGATCGTGACCACCCATCACTCCGAATTTAATGAGAAACACGTGATTTATGGAGAAACACGTGCATTGCTTCTATAGCTCGTATTCTAGCGCGTTCCGAATGGGGTTTCGGGTGTTCCAGGTGGGGTTCCGGCTTTTACAGACACCCGTCCAGTCCTGCCAGACCGCTTTCAACCAAAATTTGGTGCTTTTGTTCGTATTTTCATTTAGTTCTTTTGCTAAAGCAAAAGTTGGTGCTTTTGTTTGTATTTTCATCTAGTTCCTCTAGGGCAACTTCATTTCACATTTGTGTTTAAAAAACCTTTCCTTTTTTTTGTTTGTTTTGTTTGTTCAACATCCAGTAATTTTGTCATGCTAATAATAAACAGTGAAATAACATGCATATAACTCTTGAACAAAAATGTTTCACACAGTATTAATATGATATTCATAATTTTGTTCCTATTGTCCTTTAATTAAAATCATATCATTAAACCTAGATACATTACCCAAGCCATACCTTCCAAGCCCTGTTCCATTCTTTACTGGCCGAGAAGATGAAATTGAAGAAATTACAAACCTTATAACTGGTCAATCAACACGACTGTTAAACATCTGGGGATCTCCTGGATTTGGTAAAACATCCACAGCTATTGAAGTAGCACGCCATCTTTTGTCTCTCAACAGCCATGTTTATTTTTTTAAAATGCAGGATATTGGAACAGTAGATGAATTTTTATCTAAAATTTTAAGTATTTTCAAGAGTAATTTAGCAGATCTTAGTCTAAGACCTATAGATAAGGTAGTAAGTATTTTTAGAGAAATTTCGTCTCGAATTTTTCTTATATTTGACAACCTTGATGACCTTTTGTCGAGTGAAAGCAGTTCCGTTAAGCTTATGCGTTTATTTGAAGAATTGTTAGACAGTAATGACAACATTAAAATAGTTTTTACAGCGAGAGAGCTTTTAGAAAATATGTGTGATCAAGTAGAAGGTTTTCAAGACATCCGAATTCGACCCCTTCATCCAGTTTCATCTGTTAAATTTGTTCGTCTACTTCTCCCTTCATTTTCTGAAAGTGTTGTCGCAAATGTGGCTAGAATTTCTTCCCATGTTCCTCTGGCAATGAAACTCGTTGCTTCGTTAGTTGAAAGCAACACTGAAGATATGGCGATTGAAATACTTGAGGAATTAAGTCTCTCGGGAAATCTATTAGAGCAGGTAGACAGTCCATACAATAAAAACATGAAAAGGTTATTTGGGATTCCTTTTGAGCAGCTGACATTAAATGATAAACATGCACTGATTTCTTTAACCGTCTTTCCACTTGCTAGGATAAGTAAGGATGCTGCAATTGACGTTGTCTCTGGAGAAATTGAACGTTCGAAAGCCGTACGCAGCCTTAAAATACTTGTGAAGAAATCACTAATTGATGAAGATCCCAGTAGAGAATATTACTCTATTCACCCTCTCATTCATTCTTTTGTTGTAGATAAAGCAAAACAAAGTGATTTTGAGAATGTTTTCCAATCCTCTAGAATTCGTTTCTGTAGGTATTACTTTCTTCTTTTTGAAAGGATTAATGACGATTTTCTTTCTGGGAAGTCGGTGGACAATCCCAAACTGCAAGACACATTGGAGCATCTGTCGATTGCCATTTATTATTTTATGACAAATACTTGTAATTTGGAAATTCAGTCTGAAGATCTTTTTCGCATCTTATCCAAGTCTGAAATATTTCTTTCTCTTATTGGTTTACCCTACGCTGCCTCGTCACATATTGGTTGTCTCGTTGATGAAGTACTAAGTATTCCTAAATTATATGATGTTGTTATAGAAAAATGCAGAACACAGCAATGCAATGACGCTTTCTCAAACTTGCATGTCAGCAAATATTTTCAAAGTATTGTCCTTTCCTGCATTTTTCCGCCTGAGTATTTGGAAATACCTGAACATATACGTGAAGACGTCATCTTATTATCCGACGGTAGTGGAGCAAAATTAGGCTGTTATGAGGGAATTTCGCTTATTTCTAAAGGAAATATCAAGTTTGGTATTGAATGTATTGAAAAACATCTTGATGGTTTACAAAATTGCGCTGATCAACAACTTATAAAATGCTTATGCCTGCAGCTCCTTGCTCTTTTTTATACTGATTTAAAAGAATGCAGCAAATCGAACAAGTTCCGTAGAGAGGCTATCGAGGTTTGCAAAGAAATTGGTAATTACAATCTCTTTGTAATTGGTGATTGTGAGGAAACTTTGTCTATGACGCAAAAGGAATATAAAGGCGAGCAATTAATATTGTTTGTCTATCTTTTATTTATGTGGTCAAAGCAAATATTAAGTAAAGACACACAACTCTGCTTTTTAAACCTTGTTCATCAATTAGAGCAGCAGCTAGAAAATAAGGCATACAATGCTCCACAATATTTATTTCGGGTATTCACATACGGTGACGTTCTTTTAGCTGGTCTTGGTGTTTGTGTAGGACAAGAAGTTCTTCTGGAGGAAAAGATCATGTTTCTAAAAAAAGCAGTGAAGTCTGATGATTATTGTTCCTTGATAGATAGAACATTTCCGACTATATCGGAGATGTCTTCGATTTTGTCTCCTAAGCGACTGCTTAATTGCTATAATTTGCAATTAATGCTGAGGGACACTAATGAAAGTAAACAAGATCCAAGTGTTGTTGAAACATGTCGTAACGCACTTGATCTTTCACTTCAACAATGTGGTAAACAACATTGCAATACCGCGTTCTGTTACCTCAAAATGGGCTTGGCTGAGCATAATGCTGAGAATTATATTTCTGCTTGTAATGCATTTAACCAGGCTCTTGAAATTATGACAGCCGCTCATGACGGGAGCAGCCGCAGTAATGCTGATTTAGCCGATGTTTATATAGGGAGAGGAAAGACGTATAAATGCCTAAACAAACATGAATCCGCTATTGCATCTTTTGAAGAAGCACTTAGAATAAAAAGGAAAATGTGCGATGAAGGTACTGAAGAAATCGCTCGAACCTTAGTTTTGCTAGGGAATTCGCAATGGCATTTCAACGATTTATCTTCTGGTCTTGCAACACTTGAACAGGCTCTGCAAATAAGGGAAAAATTGTATGCTGAGAAGCCAAGCTCCAAAGGGTATTTAAATCTATTCGAATGTTACTTTATCATTGGACATTTGCATTGCGACCTTGGCAACAACGCTGAAAGTATAAAATGTTTTAAAACTGCACTTGAAGTGAGAACAGATTGCGATCCAGAACGTTCATATGCACAAAGTCTTATTTCTATGGAACTTCTAAACTTGAAAATAGAGGAAAAAGTGTACGTAGAATTGTTGAAAAGTTGTTTACCAGTGATCAAGGAAAAGTGTAGGTATTTATTACCTATACTGTATTTGAGATTAGGTTCACAACATGTTTTGTCAGGAAAGTATAAAGCTGGTCTAGCGTTTTTTAAAGAAGCTCTTGACATTGAGTTAGAGATCACACTGAGAAGCAATCTTGGTGATCGGTGGACGACGATTGCATGCTACATGCTAATGTTTGAAACCTTTTTTAAGATCGAAAAATTTAAATTAGCGGGAAAGGCCATTGAGAGAGCTATGCAAATAGCAGAATCACTTCCTGAAGGTACACAACATGTTTGGATATTTCGATGTTATACCTCCAAGGGTCGCATGCAAAATAAAATGCGGGAATATATAGTGGCAATTGATTCCCTTAAACACGCACTTCTGCAACTTCCAAAAATTTCTCACGAATCCTGTGATAAATTCGAAGAATTTGAGTGTCATCGTGCGATAGCAACAGCTTATTTCTCTCTTGAATTGTATAAAGATGCGCTTACGTCGTTTTATGATGCATTGTCTGTCATTAAAGGTCTTTTTCCGGAGGGAAGCGAGAGTGAAGCTCAAGTATATCTTCTTGTAGCCAAAGTCGCACAAAAAATGGAAAACAAAACTTTAGAATTGAGTAATTTGCGCTTGGCGTACAAAATGTTTTCAAAAGTTTTAGGGAAAACCCACTCCCAGACAGAGGTAATCTATATTGCATATGCCAGGGCTCTTATAGGTCTGGGTCAACCGCCGTATAATCGTCATACAAACTAAAATCCTAAACATTCTTGTCTAGACTGTCAACAGTGTATATATTGTGAGAGATAGCCGATTGTTCATTAATTTAAGTTCATTGCTGCACTTTGTTAATATTCGTAGAGGTTTGCACTTGTACTGTTTTTTAGACTTGCTTGTTGATCACTTCGGAGAGTATTCGTACTATTTCCAGCAGGAATTAGTTTTAATTTTTAATGTGAAAAGAATTGGCATCACCAAGTTTTAATACAAATAATTTTAACTGTAGCTTACCCATAACATAGTCATGTGCTAGTATGAAACTTTGCAATTATTGATGGTGTTTTATTAATAACATGGTTTTTGGAGGGGCTACTTCTTTTGAATATTAAACTGTGGATACCACTATGTATTAAACCATTCATGGACCAAGTTGTTAAAAAGCATTTAACTTTGAAGAGCATCTAACAAGATCTGTCTAAGATATTAGATAAGAAGATAATGCCTTGCTTGGTGTGCTCTTGTTCTTCTACTCTTTAATACTACTTATTATGCAAAAACAGCTCGAATACCAACTTCAACAACTACGGCAACAGTAACCGCAGCAACAATAATGGCATACAGTGTTCGAAGGTTAGATGAATTAGGGTAAAGATTTGACATTCAGCAGAGGTAGATCCAGCCACACCTGGCAGTAGAGAGTGCTCATCGAGCTATGGTCATTGGTCATGGTGCGTCATTAACAAAGTGACCGAGGGATCGAGCATGCAAGGTACTAGTCTGTGGTCTTGCTTCACAATTTCACAATCATGCTACTGTCTGAACTTGCTATAACTCCATTTCTATTTTTGTAAATGCCTTTCCAAATCTAAAAATGGATTGGATACGGAAATTGTCCCCCTCCCCTTGACAAAGGCCGGGAAGGGTGTTCAGCCCAATGATTCTCCAGTAGGTCAATCCCTATAACATGCAGAGACTGCCTTTTTGCTCCATACGTTTGAGGCCATATTTGTACTTAGTGAAGTTGATATTGATGTTGAGTATTAAGCGAGCGTTTGAGCGCAGATACATGTACGTTTGGCGTACCAGTGATAATTATCAAAACGTGCTAATAAAACTTTGCAAACCAAAATATTAATTACAAGTAAAACTGAGTTACAACAGTCAATTTCCACACGCATTCTTATTCTAAATTGAAATTTTATTGTATGCGGATGAGCATGGACAAGAAAACTTTGCCATTGTGTGCTTCAATTGATTTTAGGCTACTGTCTAATTCGGAAATTACTCGTTGCGAGGTTAATAAAACTGTTTCCAGCTTACACGTTTCGAACATAGTCGAAGAAGCCTTTTATTTCAGAGGCGGACGGGATGAAGGTATTTAAGATTTTTCCTCTTTCATAATATCAAAATTGTACTTTGAGTTGAAAATCGAATTAACCTTTATTATACGAAAAAATGAGACTGGATGTCTGTGGTGAGACGAGGATTATCACCTTGAATTTGTTTTACCTTATTTGCCTTACAATCTAATTAACATATTTTTGGAAATAGCAGTGGTCCAATTATTGGATTTCCTGCAATGAATATCAGAATGACAATTGGTATTGTCTCAGTTAGGTGGGAGTTAGGAGCAATTATATATGACAATATCATGACCTTCAGGCATGAGGATCTGCGGGTAAGATGCTAAGAAACTAAGGAAAGCTAGATAATTTTTGAACTTTATCTTGAAACAAAGCTTTTTAAGAACATGCTCTTTAGCCAAGCCTTGAAAACGGTGTTTACAGTATGTTGAAATTTTTCATCCCACTTAGCCGAGATCATGCAATCTTAGAATCCTGTAATCTGTCTACATCTCGCTATGAGTTGTAGTTTGTTGTCATTTGCGGATACTCCAGCAATATGAGCTACTGTATATAGAAATTCACTGAACTGTTCAAGAGTTTTCCAAACCGTGGTATTTTGGTAACCTAAAATAACGAAAATTCTCGTGCTGCATGTAAATCCATGTTAATTATATTTGTTAATCAACATAGCCAGGGCAACTGGTAATGTTATATATGCTATAAATCAGCATCTAAATAGGTTGAAGACAATGCATTTGTTTCTAAAGGTTTGAATTATTGCAAACATTAAACATTTCGAAAGCATTACCTGTTGCTATGGCTATATAGCTCGACACTGAAAATCTCCAATGCATGATTTTTCATTCAGTAATGCACGAAATCGGCAATATATCAGTATAGTTTAGTGTAAGGATATTTCCAAGATAAGCTTATTTTAGTATTTTAAGTCCTATATTGTGTGAATATATAAGTAAACCTTATTAACCTATACATGCGCTATGCATGCACAGGGAGGCTGGAACGATAAAAGGGACACGTCGAATCTAAGAATGGCCCGACCGATCATAAAATGCAATAATAGCTTGCTGTCATGTTAGCACAATTATTTTTACTTCTCCATCCAAAGAATAAGAAGTTGAACATTTCATTTGCGCAATGTACCGTGAGGACATTTTTCAAGACCTGAAGTCAAAATATACTAGAAAGCTTGATGTGCGGTTCAATTTTTTTCTACTATAATTTTAAATTATAACTAGAATTTGCTATAAAACCAAGTTTTTCGTATAGAATATTTTTTGGCTCAATTTATATTGTTCTAGAGGCTGATATGTCTAAATGATAATGACGTTTGAGATTATAAGAAATATTTCTTTCAGTGAAATATTGCCGAAGTGGAGAAATCCTTGCCTTGTTTCAGCGTCCTTGTGTATGTGATTTAAATATAAAATATGACTTTAGATAAGAGATAACACTAAACTCGCTCGCATTTACGAGAAATAAAAGAAGTTGTTTTGCTTTTTTACTGCATCTTATTCTCGCCTAATAACGCTCATTTTCTGAACAGTTGCGTAAATGCGAACGGGTTTGGTGGCTACATTGTTTTGTCGCATCTCTAGCTATTTCATCCAATATATATATATACAGCATTAAAAACTGTGTAAAATAAAAACAACATGTTTGGTATTAGAAAGATACATAAAATTAACTGACAATGCTTTTGTAATAATTATACGATGCTAGACTTTTCAATATTTCATAATTGTCCTGAGCTCATTTCACTCTGCGATTTTTGGGGCAATTTCAGAATGATCTTATTTAATGACAAATATTTTCAAATATTTTTGTAGAGTGTAGAGTGGTCTTAAATCAGCCACACAAATCGCAATGTGTAACGTGGGCTCAGCTTTGAAGAAATTTTGTATTCTATACGAAAAACATATTGTGGCAATTGATACACCAGGCGGAAATCTTAGTTTAAAGATAAAGAGCAGAGCCCAGCAAATAGCTATTAATTTTTTTACTTTTACATGTATTATGTTTGGTTTTAAAGTTATTTGCTGGGCTCTGCTCTTTATCTTTAAACGAAGAAACATATTGATTAAGGTCCTGAAGTTTCTGCATGAAGTTTCATATTTTTTGTAGTGGTCGCTATTCAGAAAAAAAACATGGAAAATTGTATTTTGAAAACCACTGACTCATCATGAACTTAACGCATACAAAACAATTTGTTTTTCGAGTTGTTATATCACAATAGTGTCAACATGACATGCGTGTATGTTACAAATACACGTTAGGTGTTTGTGCTGTTACTCTCAGTGTACAAACATCGTATTCACCTGAGTACACATAACACCAACAACACAAAAAAGCACGTTAGGTGCTTAAAAATGAAGGCATATAACGAACGAAAAAATTGTAAAAGGTCTTGCATTTGCATTTAATATATGAAGTTCTTTCAAATGGGTTAAACTTGTATTTTTTAAGCCCCGTACAGACGGGCAAGTTCTCCTTGTCGAGTTTACGACGACCATGCACGTGTTTTCAATCGCTTTTTTTAACAAGTTTTACCAGCCCGCGCTGTTTAAGTACGTAAACAATCTCATGATAATTTTCGTTCAAATTAGCTACTCCCATGCAACAAAATTAAAAACAACTGAAACTGTCTACGTTCCACACTTAAAGGTGAATTTCAAAACGACATTAAATGGCAATGCATGGTCGCTCGAAGATGAGTGCGCAGTAACGTACTGCGCAATTACTTGACAAGTTTTCTCTGACGGCCGTACCCACGAACAACTGTTCATGTTCATGTTCAGAAGTTGGCATGACTACATTTTGAACAAGGCTGCTTGTCCAGGAAAACTTTCTTTGGATTTTTCCTGTTCACACGAACAAATAAACCTGCCAAGGAAAACTTGTTCTCCTGTATGAGGCTTTATTCTTGATAAAAGTACTGACTGAGTATTTGGAGTATTTTTGTATCGAAATGTACGCGAAATAATTTTGTAAAGAACAAAATCGTAATTTAATTTCCCCCAAAGCTTATATAGTAATTGTATAGATTATATTAATTTTAATAACATGAATATCAAAGCTTGGAAAAAACCATAAAACGCACTGGTTAGATATGAGAGACGTGTACTTTTAAGCCTTGAAACATGAGAAACAGTTGGGTTTAATATAATCTAAGAATTCAATAATATACAGTTATAGTATTAGGAAAATGCTTGAAAGCAAAAATACGTTATTTTTATTTAAGTATAATTTGATTACAATTTTACAATATTAATCATGTTTCGCTCGCTATTATGGTTTAAATAAATTATTACAAAGCCCAGTCGAATTGTAATCAACACCCAACGTTTCGACACTCCAGTCTAGTGTCTTCATGCATCAGGGGTGATCTAAAATTGCAATCGTGGTTCTTAAATACCCAAGGGATGACGTCACGTCTGCCAATGAGATGCATATGTAGGCACCGTACGTCATCCCTATTCAAAGCATGGTTACTCATATTTATATGCCACGCTTCTAGGCAAAGTCTTTGACCATAGCGATTGTTTGTGGTAATTACTTTAAGAGTTTTCCCACGCAATCTCTATAACTTGTTTGGTGTAACATACATGTTCGGCTAAAGCTGATTTTCCCTTGTCTAACTGAAAGTTGAAACAGCCTTTTGATGTTCTTTTAGCCGTGTATCAAACTTGGCGTTTAGACTGACCTAAATACTCTTTCTCACAGTCACCGCATGGTATAGAATATAGCTACAGCATGAGTTTTCTGATTTGTTTTAACAGGATCTTTTGGCTTTGCGAAAATATGGCCTAAAGTCAAATAGGGTTTTAAGGCAACCTTAATATTACAATTACTTACGATTCTCTTGATTGGTTCTGTGACACCTTGAATGTATGGAACTATTGCATAACCCTTAACAGAGGTATATCACCCTCGTCCCTCGGAGTTATTTTGGTTCCTACAAACAGGTGATCTCGGGCAATGATTAAGAAAACGTTTTGGGTAATCATTTTCCCCTAAAATATTTAGAACATATACACGTTCATTAGCTTGAGAATCACTGTTTGACGGCAAGGATTCAGTTCTTTAAATTGAAGCAAAGTTTTTGCTATGGATTTTTTATGGCTACAAATATTTGTCGAAATGAACTTTAAATATTCTTTAAGAGGGTAGCGGTTCGGAAGACTAAATCTGTAGAATGAAATGTCATGCGACTGTGCGTAGAGTATAGCTGCAAAAAATGCAACTATACATTGATGGGGATGAAAGTTTTGTTTTCAAGCCCTAACCCTCCAAGGCAACCTCCCGGCCCAAATGTTCTTTATATTATCCCATTTACCAGCTATTTTTTAGACCGGTTCTCAACCCAACTATGAAATTGAAAGAGGCTAGATAGTGAGAGTCTGTGTGACAACATTCAATACGCAATTCTGCGTGTGTACTGTTTAGAACTATAGTTTTACTGTTTGAGTGAAAAGTGCGAAGGTGAAAAAGTTTGAAGTGACGCTTGTCCTGCCATATTTCGTGCTCGAATAAGGTTAGTGCAGAATACCAAGAAATTCTAAAAATACCAACGAATTTAAGCTATTTTCGTGGAGTACTGTTCAAAATTCATCAAAAGCGTGTTGGTGAAATTAAGGTAATTAATTAAAAATTAAGCAGGTTCTTTCAAAACATAAGTACAATGAAGTTCTGACTTAAAGTGGGAATCATTTAGCACCCAAATATTAAACGAAGATGTATGAGTAATGTGCCGCGAAGGCAATTACTACAGATATATGACCTATAATGAACCTCAAAGCCATTTCCTGCATATTTTCCACGATCATATTTCATATTGGCTTGGTTGTTTTCCAATTTTTCACTATAACACTCTTTTTAGTTCAAGATAATTTGGCTAAAAGTCCTAACAAAATACAAACGCTAAGAAAGTCATTTGTGGGCAGATGCCTCATTAGCTCAGTGGTTAGAGCACTGGTCTTGTAAACCAGGGGTCCGGAGCTCAATTCCGTGATGGGGCCGTAGCTGTAAGTTGTATTTTGAGAATGAAATAAATGTATTGTTCCAGTGGCAAATTTATTTTCCCCTGAAAAAACAGTCATCGTAAAATTTGAAGATGCATGTTTTTAAAATCAAACAATGAGAATCTGGAATTTTCATCTCTTGCAAATTTTATCTAATTTGGACACAAGAAATCATTATCCGCCATCCACCTTTCTCCTCCGCGGAGGCTTCTGTTGGGTATGATTACGACTAGAAGTTACTATCGCAAGGAAAGTGCTGCCTTACCACCAAAGTCCTGGGGATTGATTATACCAGTAAATTTCATTTACTTAAATTGCCTTATACACTGTATGTATGAATTTATTTTGTTTAAGAAATATCGAAATTACAACATGCAATAATTACTATATATACTATAAAGTGTACTTCGGATTTTCATATTTAAATGTATGCTCGTGATTGTTGGTACCGATGTTTTAAACCATCTTCACTTGTCAAAACGTCTAGAAGAACACAATTAGGAATATACACGATATGTCTTTTAACGTGATATGACCAGTTTGTTGCAAGTTTTGATATTCTTTCTTTCCAAGGTAATCATAGTCCATACTGTATATTCCATTTGGTAAACCAGTCTTATACTATTCGTTTTTTGTCCAATATATAAATATTTCGTCGACTTTGTGTATTCCAACAAGTTATCAACAACAGAAATGGTAAAGAGCATTTCAGCTTGTAATGAGTTAGCCAATGAACAACTCATCTCGTTAAAAGCACAAGTTGTGCAAATTACCGGTGTGAAAAGGATTCATACTCAGCATCAAGGTATGTTAAAGAAGCAAGAAGTCATCCTGAGAGATACAACCAGCTGTATAAAAGCAGTACTTTGGGGTTCCTATGTGGATACTTTGAGAGAAAATACCACCTATGTTTTTAAAAACTTGAAACTAAGAATATACAGGGGTGAAAAATACTTAAACACACCCAAAAGTGACGAATTTGAAGCGACAGAAACCACTCCATTTGACCAAGAGCTAGTTGATATTGATCTCAACCTACAGTTAACATCTGCAACAATAACTGGAAAAGTTATTGGGGTACAAGAAATTGCAAAAACTGTTTCCTGTCCCAGTTGCAAGAAGAATGTTGTCGCTCTTGCAGATGATGACCTTTTTGGAGAATGTCAGGGACAGGGTTGCAAAGCACTGCTTATGTTAGATGCGTGTGACACCCAGTTAAGCATTCGCCTTTTAGTGCAACGTATAACGGATCCGTCAGAAAAGAAGCGGCTTGCCTTTTACAACCAAGAAGTGCAGCAACTAAAAGAAACCTTGGACCTAACGCTTGACTTAACCGCATCATCAGAAAGAAACATTATGGTTGCTATTTTGACAGCTGCCAAAGAAATTAAAGCTGAGTACGATTCATTGACGAGCAAAGTTAATGATGTGGCTCTTGCGTAGACTTTGGGAAGCACTAACATTTATAGTACCGTACTTTATTATCTATCTTAAATATTGATGTTTTCTGTTGTTGGGGTTGGGTAGCTTTTCAGACTTTTGTGAAGTACTAGATTTAGAAGAATGCACTTTTATAGTAGTTTATCTTAAATTTTAATGTTGGTGTGTTTTGTTGGGGTTGGATAGACTTTTCAGACTTTTGCAAAGTACTACATTTAGAAGAACAGATTTTTAATAACTTTTAATAAATACTTTTAATATTGATGTTTTGGGGTTGGGTAAAAAAAACTTGAAACATAATAAAAATCTTGTTGTGTAAATTTATGCTCTATTTGTGGTATACATTTTTAATAAACATATTTTACCTGTTCTATAAACATATTTTAAATTAAAGAGGTCAAAATATTGCCAGAACTAAAACTTTCATGACCCCCCCCCCAATTACTCCTCAAACTCTGGTAACCCCCTCCCAAAAAAAAAACAACCTATGATTTCACCACTCCACCCAAAGCATAAAAAATGACACTCCCTTAATTAATGCATATTTATCCAATGAATTTCCATAATACGGCAGACATGATGGTGTCTCCAAAGTCCAAAACAACTGTGAAGCACATTACACAATGATTGTATTTTAAATTAAAGAGGTCAAAATATTGCCAAACCAACCATAAATCATGACACTCTTATTTAATAAATATTTATCCAGTGAATTTCCATAATACAGCAGAGAAACATGATGGTATCTCCAAAGTCCAAAACAACCGTGAAGCAGTAATCACAATGATTGTATAAACCTGTATCTATCCGCACTACTGTATACACAAAGGCATACACACATTTGAGTGCACCACAACTCCACAACACCCTCCACAGCACCAGGGAATATTACAATGGCAAGGTCCCTCGCCTTGGCACATCGCCATTCGCCACACAAATAAATAAACTAAAAGTACATCTTGACTCCTTGTATAAATATAAAGACAATCAGTGGGCTTATTTGAACTGCAAATTCATGAAATCATATTGGTTTCAATACCTCTGTATCGAACACTAAACAGCAAATCTAATGAAATCATATTGGTTTCAATACTTCTATATCGAACACTAAACAGCAAATCTATTAAACATAAATGCCTCCTTGGCACATCGCCATTCGCCACACAAATAAATAAACTAAAAGTACATCTTGACTCCTTGTATAAATATAAAGACAATCAGTGGGCTTATTAGACTGCAAATTCATGAAATCATATTGGTTTCAATACCTCTATATCGAACACTAAACAGCAAATCTAAATATAAATGCCTTCATGTATATCACCAGAATTCAGAAAGAAATAAAGCTATCCTTACCGGAATTATTCAAAATATTGTCGATCGTTTGCATCGTGAAAATCCGACATACTGCAGTAAATATTAAACCTCGTATTATTAAAACTGTAATCCTGAGAAGAATCATGCGAGCGCAATACAATCCAACATACAGCAAGTAAATAACCTCGTATATAACCTCGTATTAAACTGAAATCCTGAGAAGAATCATGCGAGCGCAATACAAAATAAATAAAATCGAATCAAATCGAATAAAAACAAAGAGTCGTCGAATATAAAGACGATCAGTGGGCTATTTAATAGAACTGCAAATTATGAAATCATGTTGGTTTCAAATATACCTCTATATCGAACAGTTAAAACAGCAAATCTAAATATAAATGCGTTCATCTACCCTTACCTGAATTATTGAAAATATTGTCGATCCTTTGCATCGCTAAAATCAACATACTGCATATAAATAAGCTCGTACTAAACTGTAATCCTGAGAATCATGCAAGCGCATACAAATCAAAATCGAATAAAAACAAAGAGTCGTCGAATGCTCGAGTTGACGACAATTTCCGAAAAATCTTGACATCCGACGGACTGACATGGATTGAGTATGTTTCCCCAATATAACTCGGCGGGGGACTGGGCACGAAAAAGCAAGAAACGTCAAGAATAGGGAGCTGCCTCGCTACGCTCGGCAGCAATTATGATAATTTACTTGGCAGTGGGATAAGAAAGTGCTTTTATTACAAGCTACCAGAGTGTCAAAATATATATTAAAGTTATTATCTGCAGGAGTTTATATAAAGGTGCAAATGAGTGTATAAATGTGACAATAATTGGTGTTCAGTAGTTGCTGAAGACAAAGATGAGTTCATGTTTAACGAGTGCATATACTGCGCATGTCAGCTCACGTCCTGCGATATAAGGCTTGCAGGGAAGTGCGCCACACTGTCCTTCGACGAAATAGAACAAAGCACCGTCGCGATCAGCGTGTGTTCCTTGCGTGTAATCAGGAGCTTCATCCACACATGTATACATTGTGCCATGGAAATTGTGCCTTCCCGCCATCAAGTATCCTTTGTACTCGCGTGCCCATCCGGCGGGACACACATTACGACCTGGCACCATTTGTGAAGCACGTTTGATCACATGACACACTACACATGGGACATCGTGGTTGTGCAGACTAATGGGATATATGCCATAAGAGGAAGATCCATATTCTGCGCCAGAGATTCGTGAACGACTGTCTTGATAACCAGATTGGTATTTTGCATAGATGGGATCACGTGTCAAACATACGTAATTAGAACCAACCCTTGTGATTATAACGAGAGATCCTCCAACATAACCTAAAAACCAACAAAAGATTAAATACTGCTTTGTCAAAATATAAAGGTGGCATGGATATCTCGTCACTATACCTAGCATATTGAAAAAATATTAAACTGGAAGGCACTCGGAATTACCCTGGATTCCAGAGCCTTCGACAGTAAATAATAAATTGAAACGTCGCGAAGGCTCTGGTTCAACGGGGAGATTCTTTGATTAAACTGCGCCAATCACAAAACAGAATTAGTGGTTTTAGTACAGAATCTGTAAGTACTTTCACGAGAAAATACGAACGATGCTTGCTTGTTTGGACTTCTTTGCCGTTCTTTTCCATCGTTTGGCAATCAAAATTTGTTTCTATTTCTCTCAATTTACTGACCAACCTTCAAGCTCTGAGTCAACGGAGTAAAATGAGAAGGAAAATATACATTTGGCCTACATATAGACATAATTTGAATAAAACGAAGCAGCGTATATAGC